CCTCCCTCATTCTGACATCATTTTTAAGTGATTTAAATATCCATGCAAATGACCCAAGCAACTTCTGGGTCTCTCAGTTTCTTGACTTTTTCACATCTTACAATCTTTCCTCAACCCCATCTCAGCCACTTATGGTAGGCAGAACTTGTCATTACTAACAATGTCATCCCTCAAAATCAGAATTTCAAGCTTAGTGTTTTCTAACCCCAACCCCTCTCTCAGTCCACTGCCACTGGTACCATCTCTGACAACATTTTGATGCCACCCAGCATCAAAAAGCTATCAACTCTATCACCTTTTCACTGTTCATTAGGCCTACACCTGATTTAGTTTCCATAGGTCCTTCATTATAATAACTCTTTGCATATGACCTCAATTCCCTGTTCTCTCTTTTTTTCCATTCACTCCCCTGAAACAACCTATCCTGATGAAGTTCAATTTTCCATCTACTTCACACATTTTCCCATGCAACTGAATCAGTCGATATCTGACTGGGGAAGGGGGCATATACCTTATCAAGAAGGTACCTGCACAATGAATATTTCTATACCTAACCCTGAATTGTACCCCACAATTTTAAAATAAAATTTTTTTAAATGTATCAAATATATATATATATATAAAAAAAATTCACAACCATTTTTTTTGCAAGTAGCTTCCAGTAATATCTCTGCAGAGGCTCTCACGTCTTCTTTTTCTTCACACTCCAAACACCTCTTTTTTCTTCTAATTTTCAGCTAATGTTCTTTCCATAATTTCATTGAGAAAGTAGACACAATAAAGATGATATACACATTCCCATCACCAAATCTACCCACCTACATGCAGCTCTGCCCATATAACCCGGCTTCCTCCTATTACAAGAATCAATGGTTTCTGCTTCTAATGAAGGACAACCTTTCTACTAATGCAATGGATTCTGTCCCCTCTGGCTTACCTGAGGGTTTCACTCCTGCCTGTGTCCTTTCTCTCTCTTGAATAATTAATTTTGACCTCCTTATTGAATCATTTTCGTCACCATTATCTACCATCTTAAAAAAAAAAAAAAAACTAGCCAGGCTCGGTGGCTCAGCCTGTAATCCCGCGCCTTTGGGAGGCTAAGGTGAGTGGATTGCCTGAGCCCGCTGGTTCGAGACCTGCCTGGGCAGCGAGACCACATCTCTACAATAAATCAAAAAATCAGCCAGGCGTGGTAGCGCATGCCTGTAATTCCAGCTACTTGGAAGGCTGAAGCGGAAGGATCGCCGGAGCCCAGCAGGTCGAGGCTGCAGTGGCCGGAGCAGCCACTGCACTCCAGTCTGGGCAACAGAGTGAGACTCCAACTCAAAAACAAAAAAAAAAACAAAAAACTTTCCCTTGATCCTGAGGTAGTTACCTATATTCTGTCTTTCTCTTTTTAAATTAAATTTGAAATATTTAATATGTATGAAAGCATTATGCGACTAAAGCTTATTTCAAAATAAGTACAATTTACCAGAAATCTGTCCCTGCAATGGGCTGCTAATTAATATTTTTTTAAAAACTGAAAATATAAGAAAATGTCTTCCCTTGAATTCATAGTCCACATGTGTCGAATAGAGTGAGTTTATTCAGTATGAAATGTTGCCAATTTTAAATCACCTGCTACATTGGTGAGTCAATCTGACCTCATTAAGATAAATGCCATTGCTGAGCTCATTCTTGTATATGTTCTCTAGTTTTTGTGCTTTTACTTTTTCTTTTCATGTTTTTTGCTTCCTATGTAACTCATAAGCATTCTCAGCATTGATGTCTCAGACCATGTCAAATAAAACTCTTCCATTATGGTAACATTTATGGTAGTTTATCTGGCATATTTGATTTTACTCTCAACTCTTTGAATTACAATTCTCACAATTCTAACTCACGTTTTCTGTGTATTCTATTCAAGTTCTTTATAGTTTGTTGGTGTGCTTGGTACCCCTTTGCTAGGTTTCTTTCCATGTTCTCTGTCTCTTCAGTGTGGAATATAGTTTCATTCTAATAGTCTATTTGTCCTCCCACTAAAGTAGCAGCAATTCTTTTAGGTTTCTCAAAATTCTCATGTCGGATTTGCCTTTTTCCCACTTCACTTTTAACTTTTAATTAAGTAAATAAATGACTAGGCACTCATATGACTCTTATAAACATTTATATGAGTGCTGAGGAATTGAATGATCCCACCAGTTCATTAACTACTTTACTACCTTTTTTTTTCTTTCTTTTTCTTTTCTTTTCTTTTCGTTTTTTTAGAGAGAGGGAGAGGGTCTTTCTCTGTCACCTGCGCTATAGTACAGTGGCAAAATCATAGTTCACTGCAGCCTTGAACTCCTGGGCTCAAGTAACTGATCCTCTTGCCTCAGGCTCCCAGTTGCTAGTATTACAGGCATCCCACCATGCCTGCCCAATCTTTTTTATTTATTTTTTAATAGATAGGGTCTCATTGTGTTGCCTGGGCTGGTTTTGAACTCCTGGTCCCAGGCATCCTCCTGCCTTGACTCCCAAGTTGCTGGAATTACAGTCATGAGCCACCACACCTGGCCTACACCTTACCACCTCTTCAGTGTTCATTAGCTCCTTCATATCCTCACTTCCCTTCG